CCCCTTCACCTGGACGTCCTGCCCTGGACAGTGGGGACGGCGACAGCACCCGTATGAGGACAGCTCTGCTGTGGTGCCTCACTGCTGGGCCTGTGTGGAGCCCTCAGCTGGGGGCTCGGCTGGGATTTGCTCCTCGGCTGCTCCCTCACTCTTTGGCGGAGAGGTGACCTAGGGAAGGCCCTGTCTTCTTGGCCTCCGTGCCTCCCTTTCCCCCAGGGGTTGGCTCTCAGTGTTCAGTTGAAGGCAGATGAGACCACTGGTCCTGGAAACTATCGGCAGGATGGTCTCAGGGTCCCCCGGGGCGAATCCCGACTCTGCCACCGTCCGTGGGGGCCCTGGGTGAGTGCCACCACCTCTCAGGACCTCCGCTGCCTTCGGCAGAGCCTGGACAAACCCGGGCCAGGCGCCAGGACTAGTATCAGAAGGGTAGCGGTCCTGCCCACTTTTCCCTTTTCACTTCCTGTCCTTGGACTTTTCTGCCTCGTGCTCCCCTCATCCCTTCCGCCCACACAAGGAGGGGGAGGGAGGGAGGGAGAAGGGGAGGGAGAGGAAGGGAGGGAGGGGAGGGAGGGAGGAAGTTTGGGGGAGAGCCCCCACGTGTGCACTAGACCCCAGAGGTTTCAGCAGGGGTCCCAGAGGTGTTGACCCCTGGGCCCCGCAGGGCAGGGTCTCTCCCTGCGTCAGGACCCAGTGTAGCCAAGTCCATTGGGCCGCCCGCTGGCAGCAGTGGCCGGGACCGTGTCTGAGAAGCATCCCTGAGAGGCAAGGCAGAGGCAGCGGAAGTTCTAGAAATTCCAGGAAAGGCAGCCTTTCCTGGGGGTGGGGCCGAGCAGGCCCAGGGCGGGCGTGGGGCTGAGGAACTGGGGGCCGCCGGACCCTGAGGGGCGTTTCTGATTTATGTCCAGAATATATGTTGTCCACCTGCTTACACCTGCTCTGGGGCTGTCTCTGGCGACGGTGCCCCTCGGCAAAGCCCTGGGAGGAAGCAGCCCCCGCCCCCGCCCCCGCCCCCGCCCCGGGCGCACTCCACTCCTGGCTCAGGGACAGGCCACTCCCCGCGTCACGGGGAGTCTGGGGCCACGAGCTTTGCCCACTCAGCTCTGCCTCCCCTGAGGGGAGTCCTCCCTCAGCTCCTCCCTGGGGCTGTCCCCCCCCACCCCCCCACCGTGGGGCTGCCCCGCGGCGCGGCAGGGCGCCTGGGACTGGAACTGCAGGAGGACTCCCCGCGGCTGCAGGGGAGTACTCTGCCCGCAGCCCCGCACTCACAGCCGGCCAGCCCTCCCTTTGCCCTCTGCAGAGGTCGGTGGCTTGGACCATTTTGCATCAGCTCCGCCCCCCCCCCCCCCAGGAGAAGGCTCAGAAGGAGTGCTGCTGGGTGCAGGCCCCCTGCGCCCCCAACCGCCTCCGCCCCCGCCCCCCAGGCCGCGCAGCTCATTTCCTCCTGGCGCCTGGTCCCCCCACCCCCGCCCCCATGCAGAGCGGTGCCAGGTGCACACGGTGCTGGGGAAGCTCGGCCATCTGGGGTCCCTCGCACTCTCCCGTTGGTGTGGGGGGAGGCGTGGTCTCCGCCCTCCAGGAAGTGGCTTTTCAGCTCCGTGGAGGACATAGATGTCTCTCAGTCTCCTCGCGGCCTTGGGGTGGGGGTGGGTCCCCAGTGAGCTGCAGGGAGCAGGGGGGCCGCTGGTGCCACTTAGGTGCCACAGGAGGGGAGGGCGCGGCCGCCGTCTCAGCCCCTTGGGGGCGTCCAGGGCCCCTCCCGTGCTCCTTGCTGCCACTTGCACGGCTTGGCTGGGTCAGCCCCATTAGCAGGTGCATCATCCCCCTGAAAAAACTGAGGCTCAAGGGGGCTGTGGGCCCCGAGCTTGGGCGTGGAGTACCCTGAGGCCGGAGAACGGCTGCTTGTGGCATCCTGGTCCGCCGCGAAGGACAGCCCCCGGGACCGCGCAGGGCAAGGGCCGAGCTGCTTTCAGAGACCCTGCGCTGGCCTTGCAGGGCGGCGGGGCTGAGACCCTGGCAGCTCAGCACAGCCCTGGGGACACCCACCTCGGGGTGTCTCTGCAGGCCTTAAATGAAGGTCTGTCCTTACAGACTTCCCAGAGGAGCTCCTCCCCTCGGTGGAAGCGGGGAGGGCGCGCCTGGGGTCTGATCACGGCCCCTGTCTGGGAATTACATTAAAAAATATTTTTTTTAACATTTATTTATTTTTGAGAGACAGAGAGAGAGCATGAGCGGGAGAGGGACAGAGAGGGAGACACAGAATCCGAAGCGGGCTCCAGGCTCCAAGCTGTCAGCACAGAGCCCGATGTGGGGCTTGAACCCACGAACCGTGGAGGGCTCCTGCCCTCCACCTTGTTTCCGGTTTTAGGAAGAGGAAATGAAAGTGAGATTCCCACTGAAACGTGTGCCAGACAGGCCAGGCTGGGCACTCTCCCCCCACCCCCCACCGCCGCTGGCCTCCTCCGCTAACAACCGTGGGCTCAGAAACAGCCAACAAAACATGGGCTCCCCTGGATGCCAAGGCTGCTGCTGGCCTTGAACTTGGGCCCCCCCGTGGCGGCGATCTCGTCCTTGATGGATTCTGGGTCTCGGGGGACGCTGTTCTTCCGTGGCTACGTGCTGGGTCACAAAGCTTGGGTGAGAAGGACGCTGGGGCCTCGGGACCCCTCCCGCACCGTATTTTTCGCAGGGATGGTGTGAGGATGCAGGGCGGTCCTAAGGGAGGAAGCGCCCGTTCGCACACCTCGGCCGAGAAGGGTGTTCCTTCGCGCCAGTTCCCGAAGTGTCCTCAAGGTGGTGCTGTTGGGACAGGACCCGCTCCTCCAGCCCCTGCGTGGCTTCTGCTTTTTAAGCTTTCAGAATAAATTAGCCTTAGGTGCCTACCTCCTCTGCGCTGCAGGATTCCAGCAAAATCTGGTTTATTTAGAGATTCGGGTCCAAGAAGCTATTTTGTTTTAGCACGTCCTCCCCTGGCCCCCGGAATGTAATGTAAGGCGATTTGGACCCTCGCTGTTTCTGGACGCATTTATTCGGGAGTTACTTTCAGGCCGGCTCCGCAGACCACTGTCGCTGTGCCACGAGCCGCTGGGGGCACTGTGGGCTGAGGACCAGGCCCCACCTTGCACGCGGCGGCCGCTGGTTTCCGCCTGCAGCGGGGACGCGGTACAACCTGTTCCGCCTCCCACCTCGTGACCCCCGCCAGACTGGTCCTTTTGGGGTGCCCCACAGCAGCCGGAAGCTTCACCCGTCAGGAAGAATGGTAAGCACGGGGGCTGCGGGCACTGGGTGAGGTTAGAGACCCGCCAGGAGGCCGGACCACACCCCTGGGGGCCGGCGGAGGGGTGAGGGCGCAGGGGACGGCTCGGCGGGGCGCGGCGCGTCGGGCTTGCTGTCAGCCGGAGGGGCGCGCACGTGGACAGAGGCTTCTAACGGAGGGGCGCAGGCAGGACTGGACCCCGCCCCACCCCCTCAGGCTTGAAGCATTCAGGAAAGCTGCCATCACCCGACACTCCTCGACGGCACGGGTTTGGGGTGTTGTGTGAAGTCAGGTGAGCGGCACGTCCGACCTGATGGGAGCGGGAGCCCAGCAATCCAGCGCGCCCTCCCCGCCACCAAGGGGTTCCCCTCCCTGCCCACCCCTGCGTGTCCAATCCGCACGGCTGTCCCCAGGCAGACTCTGGCCAGCCTCGCGGGGGCTCAGCCCAAGGAGGGAGCCCCGGGGAGAAGCCAGCAGCAGGAGCCACGTGCACGGGGGAGACGGGATCCCAACCACGCGGCCATAGCGTGACTTGTCTGACGCCCTGGAAACGGGGTCTTGTCGACGAAGGGAGCGGATCTCTGGGCCCACGGCTCCTCTCCAGACACACACACTCCCCTGGACGGCCAGCCTGGCCAGCCTGCCTCAGCCCCAAGTGTGTGCACCGGCCTGGATCTCTCCTCTTCCTCCGAGCGAGCGGGCTCTCACAGACCGTTGCTCACACAAGCTGGGACCCGGCTTCCGAGGCCCAATATTTCTGTTCATCCTCACGAGTGTGAGTAAAGGGGACGGCAGGAGCAGGGAAAGAGGTGGTGAGCGATCTTGTGTGGTAGTGAGTTCCCTGTTAGGAGAGGTGTGCGAGCAGCAGGTGGATGACCCCTGTTAGGAAGATTCTACAGTGAGCCGTTGTTCGGGACCCTCCCTCTGAATTAATTTTCCAGGATGATGTCCAGGCGTGGCTTAAAGCCCGCTTTCTGGCTTGCCTCACCCAGGCCCAGAGAGCAAACGACCCGGGTGTACCCGGTGAGTGTGGAGGGACCCCGGCCCAAGCTGCTGCACTGGGGGCTGGTGAGGACATAGGTGGTGTCGTGGGGTGAATAACGTCCCCCAGAGACGGCAGTCCTAATCCCAGAAAACACACACGTGACCTCGGGTGCGAAAAGGGTCTTTGTAGCTGCGATCAGTTGAGGACGTGGAGATTATCCAGGATTACCCACATGGGCCTTAAATGCAATTACACGTATGCTAATAAACGGGAGACAGAGATCACACACGCACATGCACACACACACACACACACACAGGGAAGACAGAGGCAGAGGTGGGGCAGGGCGGCCACAAGCCCATCACTGCCTAGAGCCCCAGAGGAGCACGACCGTGTGGACACCTGATTTTGGCCCAGCAACGCCGACTTCCGGCCCCCTGGACTCTGAGACAATCCATTTCTGTTGTTTTAAGCGGCCCAGTTTGTGATTTAGTAGCGTGGCCAGGGCCGGGCGCCCCCACAGGAATGCTGGTGGGGGGGGGGGCTCGCAGCCCCACGGAGCCCGGGCGGGGCCAGGGAGGAAACCCGAGCCTCCTCTCCTTCAAAATCTTTGTCACACTTGAGGTGTCAAACTCCTGCCAAGGGCGGAGCGGATGTTCCGAGCAGGCCCTGCAGCGAGACGCAGCACGGTGGGGGAGCATCTCGGATGAGGAGCTGGCGTCGGTAGGGTCTCCCGGGGCCGAGCCTCCAGTCCCCTCCGAACCGTCTGGAGCAGCCTAGGCTGGAGGGCAGATGATGACAGAAGGACTGGGAAGTGATTCCACTCTCAATTCGCCCCTCCGTCGGGCAAGAAGGCTCACTGGACCGGGGTGAGCGGGGTGCTGACTGCCTCTCCCCGGGCGGGGGGGGGGGCTCGGAGCCTTGGGCCAGGGGCTAGGAGGCTGGGGGGCAGTGGTGCCTGCTGATGACAATGTCACTGATCGGGGTTCGAGGGGGCGAGCGTGGGGTGGGTGGTCCGGGCTCAGAGGGGGCAGGAGGAGGGAGGAGAAGGTATAATCTCATCAGCGCACAGCAGCTGTGTGCGCTGGCTGGACTCCAAATGCAGTGCTCCCTTTCCGGGTCTAGGCTGCCCGTCCACCCACAAGGGGGCCCGGTGGGGGGTGACGGAGGCGAGGGGCAGGGACAGCCCCTCACCTTAGGTGCCGCTGTATGCTCATTTGTCTGGCAAAAAAAGAAAGAAAGAAAAAGGAGGTATGCGCGGCCTGTCGGCAGGGGTGCGGAGGAGAGGCGCCCCGTTCACGGGGCTGGTGCAGGTGTGAGGCGCGGCAGCCGGCTGGAAAAGCAGGGTGGAAAAGCGTATCAGTGGCACACGCACGTGCTACTGGGCCCCTGAGTCCTGCTGCGGGGTTTTGTCCCATAGAAACAGAGGGAGCCACACCGAAGGGGACAGGGACACGCTCCCGCGGGAGAGGACGCAAACCCAGCGTTCCGTGAAGCTGGACACTAGGTCAACGCCGTGGAAAGGAAGACGGGGGAGAGTGTGGCCCACCCGCCACGGGATGGGCGCAGCCGCCACGCGGGTGACAGCCAAGCCGCGCACGAAGTCACGCCCCGGACGGAGCCCGCGTGGAGCAGCGACTCCGAAACCCTAAGGCATCTGCCGCTGCCGCCACGCACGTCTGTGTCTCCGCGGGTCTGTGTGGGGTTGAGTGGGTCCGGGGGGGAGGGGGGAGGTGCCCCCGAGGTGGGCGGCGTGGGTTTGCAGGGGCACAAGGTGTGGGGGGCGGACACCGAGGGCGACCACGGCAGAACGCACGTGAGCCCAAGGCCGCGCAAGGGCGCAAGGGGCACAGACAGGGCGTCCACCTGTGCGTGCAAGGGACAGATGTGTGGGTGCGGGGGTGGGGGGGCGTGCTGTGAGGGTGGCCGTGTGGAGGCGTGTGCAGATGCGTGAAGGTGTATGGGGAGAGGTGTGCGTGTGGGTGCGGGTAGGCACTTGTCTGTGAGTGTGGGGGGCGGACGGGGGTGAGAGTGTGTGTGCATGCGTGTTATACGTGTTTGTAGATTACGTGAACGTGTACGAGTAGGTGCGTGGGTATGAGGGTGTGTGTGTGCGTGTGTGTGCGTGTGTGAGGCTGTGGATGTGTGATGGGAGCAGATTGTGTAGGTGTGTGGGGGGGGCGTGGGTGTGTGTGTGCGTGTGTGAGGGGTGGGGGCAAGTGTGCGGGGCGTGGCTGGAAGAGAGCGGGGGACGTGGGGGGTGGCCATGCGCCCGAAGGGGAGCAGGAGAGGCCGGGGGGGGGGCCGCCGAGCCCTAGGGGCGGGTCTCGGGGTGGCGGGTGTCCAGATGGCCCGCATTATCTCCTTTACATCATCGCGGACTTTTCACATTTCCAGATCCTCCGTGCCGGGCATGTATTATTTATACGATACGAAAGTTCTTCTGCGGTGGAAAGAGATTGGGGTGAGGGCCCCGGAGGGCCGGGGGAGCGGGGCAGGCGCCTCGCCTGGGCCGGGGGGGCCCTCGGGGACGCCCTCATCCGTGTGGCCCAGGGACCGGCCTCGGGGGACTCCCTCAGCCCCTGCTTCCCTGGGTCGGGGGCTCGGTGCCCAGACAGTCCTGACCTCGCCGGCCCCCTCCGCCCCCCCTGGGGTCCCCCGACCTCTCCCCCACACCGTCCCCCCCCATTCCACCGCGGGGTGGCCCCGGCAGGATGACCCTCACCACTCTTCCCCCCCCAGGGGATCACTTTGGGGACGTCTTTCTCCATTTCTTTGTTTAAATTCAGTAATGCTCGCACCTGGCACAAAACCCAAATTGCGCCAAGGTACAAGCAGTATGACAGCCGACACCGTCCCACCCTCGTCTCCGGGAGGGAGCGTCACCCAAGCCCCCCCCCCCCCCGCGTCCCTTCCCACAAACACCAAGGCTGTACTCACGCGGGGGCTGCTGGAACTCGGGGCCACACGCTGGGGGCGCTCAGGACGGCAGAGAGCGACTGTCCCTCAGCTCTGGAGTCCAGAAGTCCGAGATGGGGGTGTCCGGGGGCCGCGCTCCCTGGAAGGCTCCCGGTGGGGTGTGGGCCAAGTCCTCCCTGTGCCGCCCCCATGCGTCTGCCTCTTCAGCGTGCTCTTTCTAGAAGGACACCAGGATCAGAGGCTGGGCAACTCCAGTGTAACGTCATCTTAATTACGCCTGCCCCCAAATCTCAGGACTCTGTCCCCAGCTCGGGTCACATTCTGAGGCACTGGGGGTTAAGGCTTCAACACAGGAATTTCGGGGGGACGCGATTTAGCCCCTCACAGAAGCGGGCGCAGGGGAGTATAAGCGAACATACCTTATGTGGGTGTGTGTGTGTATATGGACCTCATGGTATGTGCCCCCCCCCCAATTTCTCACCTTCTGTGCTCTGGCTTGCTTCCTTCCCCCCCCATTCCCGCAGGTGGGGGTCCGCTATCGAGAGCACCCCCTTCTATCCCAGGCTGCAGGAGGAGGCAGCGTGGCGAGGAATCACCGTACTATTTACATACCCAGCTCCCCGCGTGGGCTCTCGGTGGTTCTCCATCGTGGCCTGTGGCAGTGAGTTACCTCCGGGTGGTCCACGGCCCTGCCCACGGTCTTTCTGGGGGAGGGGGGGGTTGTGAGCGTCGTGAGGTCACACGTATGTAGCCCCAGACGGGGGCCTGCCCACAGCTGGGGCTCCGGGAAGTGCTCGCTGAACCCGCTGGGCTGGGCGTGGGACCCACTACTGTGTGTGGGGAGGGTGAGGGGTGGGGCCCTGCGGCAGGGACACCGAGCAGTGTAGGGGGACGTTCCTGGGAAGAGGCTCCAGCTGGCACCCTGCACGGGGGTGGGCCACAAATGCGGCCTGCTGGGCCATCCGTTCCAGGACCAAAAGGGGCGAGCCCGCCAGACCGTGGGGTTCCCACGCTGGCGCTGGCCGGCTGAGGTTTCCAGAAACTCCCACCCCCCCAGCGCCTGGGAAGAGGTTCCCCACACTGTGGTCCCCGCCCTTATTCCAGACTCATTTCTCCAAGTCACTTCCGATCAAGGTCACGGGCAGCCCAAGCTGTCTGAGGGTCCCCAGTGGCTGGGAGGTAACTCTGAGCACAAGTCTGCTCCATTGAGGAAACCAAGCCCCGCTTCCCCCGGACGGTCCCCTTCATACTGGACCCAGACGTGCCTGCACCCCTGAGCCTCAGAGACCACAGCGTCGCAGGTCTTTATTGAGGCAGGAACCGGCAGCATCCGGCCAGGTGCAACTATGCAACACGTCATCACGCTCCAGAACAGTCCTGACATGTCCATCCAAGGAGTGTTTTCTGGAGCAGCAGTTTTGGAGACATTGTGTCCGTCCCCAGGGAGCCCGGTTATGCGCATTTCCCGAGGGAGAAAGTGCTGCTCGCTGGGTCCCAGCGGAGGGCGCTCTGCAGGGCTGGGACCCAAATTCTCACATGGCCCTGAAATGCGCTGAGAAAAAAAAAAAAAAAAAACAACCTGACGGGTGGATGGAGGACCGTAGACGGGCAGATGTGGAAAAGCAAACGTGCTAACGGGAAGAATCTAGATGTAGGCATTTGGGTGTTCTCTGGCCAATTCTTTCAACTTTCGCACGTTTGAAAGTTTTCAGAATAAAACGTTGGGGAGAAAACATACCGCCCCGTGAGTGAGAGTTATCAGCAAGGTCCAGGGTTGGGGGCGTCTGCTCTGGGGCGGGGGGAGGCGTGGGAATCAGGTGGGCGCTCACCCCAAGAGAGGACAGGACGGGACGGGACGCGGCCACCAAGCCTGGGGTAGGGGTGAGCAGAGGGGGCCGGCCCGGCTCTGGACCCGCAAAGGCCCTGACTGACCGTTGGAGATGGAGGTGCCTCTTCGCACGGCTCCCCATTCCCAGGGGGGCTCTGTCAGGGCCGCTGACCCCCGCCAAGGGGACAGGGGTTGGCACATCTTTTCATCTGGCCCCTCTCACGTGAGCTGTCAGTGGGAAGGGCTGGGCCCCTTCCGGGCGCTTCCGTGGGGAGGGGGTGTCTTCAGGACTGGCTGGGCAGCGCCGGTTGGCGGGGTGATGCTCGCACCCCCCTGCTCCGCGGGCTACGGTGCCCAGGATGCCATCTTGCTCCTCCCACCCCTGCTCTCCCCTCCCCCCACTCCCTCCTCCCCCCCCCCCTCCTTCTCCCTCTCCCACCCCAGGGACGGGAACTCTGGGAACCATCCCCTTGACGCCTTAGGAAAATTAGCTTCCTCTTTCGAGTGCTTAAAACGGGGGACTTTCGCAAGGAGGGATGTGGCTCGAGCCTCAAACGCAGCCCGAATCATTTTCAGACATTTGGTCTTTTTGAGAGCAAACATTTGGATCACGCACCAAAGACCTGCCTGCGCCATGATCTCCCCCCCCAACCCCTCGTGGTGGACTCCGTTATCCTGGCTTCCCAGCAGGGGTGTTGGGGGCAGGGTCGGGCCCATGGCCACGGAGGGGGGCTCAGCAGCTGAGCTCAGTGCCTGACTGCGCACCCGGACAGCTGCGAGGACACTTCGCGCTGGCTGCGATGTGGGGAGCAGACCATCTGACAGGCCGGTAAGGAGGCACTGGGGCTCTGCCCGCGGCCCCGCTCGGGCCCCCGCACCCGCTGACGGACCCTGGAGACGGGGCCCCTCGGCACGACCGCTGCCCTCACTTGGACCCTCCCTTGGGCTTGGCCATCTCTCACCCACTCTGCCATCACTTCCAGCCTACTCCTATGGCTCTGCTTTAGCCCTGACACCTCCCTGGTTATACAACCTTCAGTGGCTCCCTATTGCTCTGCAAACTAAGAACCCTATGCTCTAGCTCTCCGCACACAGGCCCTCTCAACTGTAACCCATCCCCGCTCTCTCCTCCCCGGCAGCAGGTCCCCCTTCACACCCCTGCCCCTGGTGTGCAGCGACCTCATGCTAGGAATAACCAGAGAACTGCTACCTAAAACAACCTGGCTCCCCCCCCCACACACACACACACAAGTACAAGCAAATGCTGGTGAGGGCAGGGACACGGGGAGGGCTACTCCGAACAGTCTTTCTGAGGTGCTGAGTGATGGTGCATCTGTCCAGACCCTTACCGGGGAGCGCCATCCGGGGCCACGCACCCCTACACCACTCTCAGAAAGACAGGCAGGTCTGCCCCTCCCCGTGATACACACCGATGGCGGGAGGGCTGGCTCTCCACCCGTCTCCTTCTCCCTCCCCTGCACCTCCTCCCTCCTCCTTCCCCCTCCCCCTCACTCTCCCCTCCCACACCCCTCTCCCTCCCCCTCAGCCCCTCCACGTTGGGTCTGGGAACCCAAGTGGCGTGGAAGCCAGGTCTCGCGGAGGAGACCCAGCCTCAGCCCCAGATAAATGAGCCACCGGGCTTCAGATGCGTCTGTTTAAGTCTTCGAGTGTTCCCGCCAAGGCCCCAACATCATGCACAGGAGTCAAGGCATCCCAAGCCCCGGACCCCACGTGGTTGTTGTATACCCCTAAGTTTCGGGGGAGTGTGTGATGCAGCCATAGTAACCAGGACAAGGCGGCACGGCAGCTGGGTCAGTACCCAGTGATTTACAAATCCGTGCCACGCGGATCGGCACCGATCTCAAAGTTCTACTTTCAGGGGGGGAAATAAGGGACAGGGGAGATACATACACAAGAGCACGGGGTGGGGGTGCGGCGGGCACGAGGGTGAGCTAAGGCCAAAGGGATAGGGGTGAGTGAGGACGGAAGCACAAGTAAGACGAACTGTAATTCAAAAGTGGACATTTCCGGGGCGCCCGGGGGGCTCAGTCGCTTAAGCATCCGACTTGGGCTCAGGTGGTGACCTCGCAGTTTGTGGGTTCGAGCCCCTGCGTCAGGCTCCGTGCTGACAGCGCCGAGCCTGAGCCTGGAGCCTGCTTGGGATTCTGTGTCTCTGCCCCTTCCCCACTCACGTTCTTCTCTCCCTCTCTCAAAAGCACGTAAACGTTAAAAAAATTTTAAGTGGACATTCCCTGAAATTATTCCAACCCCCCCCCCCGAAATAGCTTATTAAGACCAAACAAAGCAGGTGGACACCGGCTGCAGGTTGCTGACTCCCGATGGGACCTTCCGGGATTATTCCCACGACCGCATCTCTGCCTTGCAGGGCACCGTTGACGACCGGCTCTGAGCTAGGCACTTGGGACACAGGTGCCAGGGCACAGCCCCTGCTCACTGTCCAGCTGAGAAGGCCACCCGGCGTCCTCTAGGACGGTTTGCTGGGATCCCACCGTGGTCCCACTGCACAGGGGGGAGAGAGAGAGAGAGACCCAGAGGGGGGAAGGAAGGACAGGAATGGCCAGAGAAGAAATAAGCGGGGGCGGCTGCGGGGTGCCTCACAGACACGGAGACACGGGCTCGCTCCACCTTTGTGCCCCAGGAGTCTCTCTGCCCAGAGCCTGCCCACAGGGGATGGCAAGCGTGAGCTCTGGCCCTCTGAGCACCAGAACTTGGGCTCAGGGCCCTAGGCGGTGGCGGCAGTCTCCAGACAGCGCCCCCAGGGACGAGTGCCGGAGACCGTCCGGGCCAGAGAAGGGCCAGCCCCTCAGAGCTGCCCGCGGGTCTGAACGCACACAGCCTCGGTGGTGGCGATCCCCGGTTCCCGCCTCTGCAGACGGTCCTGTCTCAGAACTGGCCTCTCCTCCCACCTCGACGCAGGGCTGCCCTCCGCTCCGGCTCTGGGACCGGCCCTGTGCACAGCGGCGGGAGGCCTGGGCAAGCGCTACGCGGCGGGCGACCTCTCGCCTCCCTGGCCGACCCCGCGGCCCAGCGGCGACCATCTGCGGCTCTGCACTGCCCGCCTCGCGCGCTGGGGCTCCGCCGTCGCCGTTGTCGTGACCGTCTCGGGGACCCAGCGCCGGGCGCCCCAGCCGCTGCCCCATGCCCGCGTCAGGGAAGCGCCCTCTGCAACCCCCACAAGGCCCGTGTGGGAGACACAAGAAGGCCCACGCTGCTCTGCTCGCCTTCAGCCCGTCCCGACCTGGCGGTGCGGCAGAGGCAGGGGGGCGACCCTGGCAAGAGAGCACTGAGGCTTGGGTCCCCCGCCTGGGCGCACCCAGCCCTCCGTCCTCCCAACAGCCTGTCACCGCGGGGTGCTGACTCCCAGAGGTTCATAAGAAACAGGATGTGAGGCGAGGCGCCCCCCGCCCCTGCCCCGGGCCACACAACTGGAGAGCAGAGAGAACTGAACCCAGACTCCGGAGGAAGCCCCCACGCTTGGAAATCATGGCAGTGAGGGCACCGGCCTCTCAGGCTTGAGGTTCGAGAAGTGTGCTGAAAGAGGGCCCAGGACAGCTCCCCTTAAGTGGGTGGTTACGTCCCCACAGCCATTGTCTTCTTATCTGGGCACCTCTCGGGCCTCAGTTTCCCCGACTCTCAGAAATGCCCTCTGATTAGACCCTGTGGTCAGCTCCCACCCACCCGGCTGGCACTTCTCTTCCCAAAGGACTGGGGTTGCCAGCTCTCCCCTTGGCTCAGCCCCTTCCGGCTCGACCTCTTGGAGTCTCCCTGACCCCAGGAGCCCCCAGAGTGTAATACTTGGAGACCCCAGCTCTCTCCACTCTTGCACAGCGTCCTCATCTACAAAAAGAGGGGGGGGGAGAGCCCTCATCTCCTTGTCTGCCTCCAGGCTGGGGAGAGCCCCTGTCACCGCCAGGCTTTGCCCCTTCTGGGGCCCGATGTGAAGGCCAGAGAAGATGGGCCCGGCGTCTGGTTCCTGAGGCTGCAGAAACCCCCTAATCCCCCAGAGGCCCTTCCCATCAGCCGCGGGGAGAAAACCCGGGTCTGGTGAGACGGGCCAGGGCAAGCCGGCTCCCGCAGGCACTCCAGAAAAGGCACACGGGTGCGCAGCGTTTCACCTCCGCGGCTGCAGGCCGGCAGAATCCCGCGGGCTACGCCCCGTCCGGGCCGGCTCCGCGGCCTTGCCACGCCGCTCCCCCGTCCGACCCCAGGCCCGTAGAACGCCGGAATTCAGGCCTGGCAGAGCCACTTACCACACGGTGTGGTCTCTCCTCGCCTCGCCTCTGTTTTCCCCTCTGGAAAATGGGGTTGATGCTCCCGGCCGCCGTGGCTGATCTGAAACTCGGAGCGCCGGGGCCCGGCCTGCAGCCGTCCCGGGAGAACGCGGGCAGCACGCGGTTGGACAGGGGCCACCCCGGCTGGCCCTGGGAGGCAGGGTGTAGCTCTCTCTCCGAGAAAACCCGCGTCCGGTGAAGCCGGCTCCACCCGCGCGACCGCGCTGCGACCCGGTGGCTGGGCCGTCACCTGCTCCCGGGCGGAGCTGACACAGCCCCGAGGTGGCGGCGTGGGCCGGGACGCATTTCTGTCGCCGCGCTCCCCGCTGCAGGAACCGGAGGAGACTCCCCACGGGTTCAGAGTCTAGAAACGGAGGCTCAGTGAGGGATGGGGCCTGCCCCCCCCCCAAGACCTGAGCGGCCAGGGGCACTGGCTCTCGCCCCCACCCCCTTCCTAAGGCCCGAGCCTCCCGGGCAGCGGGACGGCGGGGACCCGCTCTCCGGGAGCGGGACCTCGGGCGCGCAGCGGGCGGGGCCACAGGAGTGGGGGTGGGGGCGAACACCTCCTTACGCTCTGAGGCTGAGCCCCGGAACGAGAGGGTTCCATGCACCCCT